CTTGTTGCCTCAGAGTTATTTTCTTAGCTGTGATGTAGTACATCTATTTTTAGGTGTTATCACCACAATTTCAGGAGTTCCGATTTTCCATTGGAGGACCGATTCCTTAGTTTCTTTTACCGACCTACTTCCTACATTCATACACTACTCTTAGCTGATAGAGTAGCTATATGAATGTTGTCCTGTTGTTTCTACTCCTCACAGGGTCCTACCCAGTTAGGATAGGACCCAGTTATGGTAGGTGTTACCACTGTGTCCCTTCTAGTAATCATTGATTTCATTTATGATTACTATCCTTGGTAGTGAGGAGATCCCTTTACTACCTAGAGTTGTTTCTTAGTTGTGATGTAGTACATCATTTCTCAGATGTTAGCATCATGACTTCAGGAGCTCTGATTTCCTAGTAGAAGATCAGCTCATTAGTTTCTTTACTCACCTACTTTTACATTCGTACCATACTCTTAGCTGCTAGAGTAGCCCTATGAATGTTATTTTGCTTCTTTTGCTCCCCATAGGGTCCTACCCGATTAGGGTAGGTGTTACCACTATGACCCTTTTTTATGATTCTTCACACTTATTCATAATTACTATTCTGAGGTAGTGAGTGTACCCCCTTACTACCCAGAGCTGTTTTACTTGTAGTGATGTAGTATGTCCTTTTCTCGGATGTTAACATTACTACTTTGAGAATTTTGATCTTCTGATAGAAGATCAGTTCTTCTCCTCCTTTTTGTGACCTACCTTACCATTCATACACTGGGCTCAGTTGCCAGATTAGTCTTATGAATGTGTTGGGGTCACTTTCACTTCTCACAGGGTCCCACTAGTTTGTGTGGGTGTCACCACTATGAGATTTTGCTTACTTAGAGTTGTTGCCCTTAGTGGAGAGGGTGCTCCCTGGCTACTTTGACTCTCTTTCCCCTACTTGGTGATATGGGGCGTCGTACCTTAGATGCAACCATCACCTCTTCCTTGAGCTTTAATTTTTCAGTAAAAAGTCAGCTCTTCCGAGTGTCTCACTACTTGCTTTCCCATTGAGATCCGACTCTTAGCTGCTAGAGAGGTCATTTGAATGCTTTGATACTTTCCACTTCTTACAGGGTCCCCATCAGGTAGTATGGGTTTACCACTATAGCCCCCTTCGGGGTTGTTTTTACTAGGCTTAGTCCTACCTTTTGTAGTAGAGGTGCCCCCTCTCTACTTCAGTTTCTTTGGCTTCGTTGGAATGAGATTACCCCTTTGCACACTCTACTAAGGGTATATCTCTTCCAACTTTATTTAGGAGACATCGTTTTGATGTCCTCCTTCTCTTTTGTGTAGGGTTAGGGTTCCTTAGGAGATCCTGATAGCATTTGGATACTCATGGTCACGACGATTTGTCCTCTACCATGCGGTTACTAGAGCGCTAGAACGGGTTCCCTAGGTGGCTCTACCCTTAAAATCATCCCATTTACTTACTTCTTTCTCCCTCACATCCCTACACAGATACGTGTTAGGCTGATGTTGAGGTGACTTTTTCACCTTCTATTCTACTGTTGAAATGAACAGACAGGTAGTTGGTGTAATATCAGTTATGCTCCAGGTTCGTCCGGGACGAAGTTGGATCGTCCGGGACGATCGGTACAAGTTTGTTCAGAATTTGTGAAAATTGGGCAGTTCGTCTGGGATGAAATGTGGGATCGTCTGGACGAAAATTTTCCAGAGCCCAAGTCGTCCTGAGACGATAATTAATTTCGTCTGGACGAGAATTTTCCAGAGCCCAGATCATACCGGGACGAAGTGCGATCGTCCAGGACGATCTGAGTATTTTAAAGAGGAAATCAGATATTTTGAAGAGAGAGAAAAAAAAAAAAGAAAATATCAGAAATTCCATCCGTGAGAAAAGGAAAAAGAAAAGAAAAGGAAAAGTTGATTTCGGGAAGCCGCGGGTCCGTTTTCGTTCGTCGAGACTGTTGAGGATTTTGCTGTACGCAAGGTAAGGCACAATCCGACTTTCTCAATTTTCAGAACCGTCGCTGTTGGCGGTATTTTCTGTCCGAAGTTCGTTTTTGTTAG